CCTCCTCCTCCATCTTACTCAGATTATATAGAACAGCAGAAAGCCTATTCACAACAAACTGCACTGATGGCTTATCCTGGTTATGCTGTCCCTTCCCAAGACTATGGTTATCCTTCACCTCCTCCACAGCAGCAGAGTTTTGCTGTACAAGGATATTCACAGCAGGAGCCACAAGGATATGGAGGAACAAACCCTAGTACTGATGAGTCTACTGGCATTCGTGATGAACCACCACCTCCTTATTGAGCTCATTGATGTATTTTTATATTTTGTTTGTCAGTAGATCTAATGTGTCCTTATATTGTCCACATTATAATTATCAATTAATTTTGTATCTCATTCTGATGCATGTACATGATGTAAGCTAAATGTGATGCATCATACTTTTACAGTAAAAATCTATTTGATGTAGTTCAAATTTAAGAACTAGACTAATGGATGGTTTGTCTTAGACTACCGTTATTAGGGAGAGCACTTGAGATTTAGATTTATACTGATGATGATGACAAATTATTGACACTCCAACACATGCAACAGAGGATTGTGGCACAGTACCTCCATATTTAGGGAAATTTCCCTAGATCTAGGGACAAAAAGATCAATTTAGGGACTAGTGAGTGAATTTTCTAAAATACTGGAATCTAGCCTGGGAAATTTTTACTTACATAGCTCTATGATTAAATTCATGAGTCATTTAATTATAATTCATGACATTAACACATGCATCCATGATGTTAATGATTACACATGCATTTCATTTTATCAAAACATGATAAAATTTTCAGCTGGATAATTCAATTCAAAATGGCTTACTTAAATTTAAAATTTTGATTTAAAATTTAGAATTTTCTCTTAAAAATTTAAAATTTTGATTTAAAATTTAGAATTTTCTCTTAAAAATTTAAAATTTTCTTTTAGAATTTTCAAATTTAAGGGAAAATAACAGGGAAATTTTAGGGAGCTCTGGGGGAAATTTGACATTGGATTTGGGGATTTTTGGGGAAATTTTGCTATCCACTTTAGGGAATTTGATCTGAAGGCACTGTTGTGACACCAGTCAGTATTACACACGAAGTAATTTTCATGCCTGATTCAGGACTGATACCCAAATTTACTGGATCAGGATTCAGGTCTGATAGACCAGCATTATAGATGCTTGTCATGCCTGTACCGTGGCTGACTCTATGATTGTATCAGGACTGATTGATGTCTGATATCAGGATTTAATCAGGCTGGTACCAGTCCTGATCCACGTGCAAATTATTGGGTGTTGTGGCTTCATTCAATTGTGGCAAGCAACATGTTGCTGCAGTATCGTAGCTCTCCTGCTAAGAGACAATTCCTCATAATTGTACTCGTTGTCTGTTTGAATTTCAATTCTATCAAAGGTAAAGTGACTAGACTACTGGGGCATGAGCTAATCTCGAGGCTAATCTTAGCTTTAAGTTGGTTCAAGATTGCATGTGCTGTGCTATATTTGTTCAATATAATGCACTTTATTCATGCTTTTTTATAAATAGGATTTATGGTTCAATCATGTAGATACCTATACCCAGAAACTTTGAAAAGATTAAACTTTCACAATTCCACCCCAAAATCATTTTTGTGGATTTAATTTTTTTGAATCAAAAGCATTCCGCCATCTTTTACCATATTATCTAGATTTTTACGGATTTAAATTTCACACATCTGACAAAACCCTGAAAATAGCAAAAGTGATCAGCCTCAAAAGTTTCCAGCTATACGGTATGTACAGTAGCTATGCATCCTGAATAGGCATGAACCACGAAGGAAGGAATTGTGTTTGATGTGTAGTGTGTGTGTACGTGTGCTATCTTTTGTGTTATCATGTCATGTGATTTGGTTCTAAGTTGATGCTGTGTCATTTCCCATATACTGTATAGTGGGTTTTTTTTCGAGGATAACAAATTTCGCGGATTTTTTCATGATTCGCGAAATTAAATTCCTTGAAAATCAATTTAATACGGTACAAGATGGCAGATTAGTGAAAATTCGCGAAAATTAATTTCGCAAACTTCCGGATATGGGTCATTCGAGAAATTTATTATCCTCGAAAAAAACCCGCTATACGGTATACCAAGCATACTTCTGATATTTATATTCATGAATGTGACAAGGTTAATTAGCAAGAGTACATGTGTGACTATTCACTATGGAATTCCCCATCCTCTCCTAAAATTTGGCATGCTCACTATTTATATCATGCATGTACATGTGCACTATTGTACTTTTATTAAAACAAGCTCATACTCTTTACTATATGCCATATTGTACATGCATATACATGTACCCACTCTACAACTTTTAGTTGTACACTTTCCCACCACAATTGTTATACCCCCATTGATATTATTGCTAATAAATCAATTCTTTGTATGATCTTACTTCAATTGGTAAGGTCAATGTAGTCTGGGTGCACTTCGTCTTGTCAATGGTGCTTCATATCGTGAAGGTCGCCTTGAGATATGCTATGGTAATAGCTGGGGAACAGTCTGTGATGATGGCTGGTCTAATGCTAATGCTCAAGTTGTATGCAGACAGCTTGGATACCCTACTACTGGTAAGCTGGGAGCTATGAAACTAATAATATAAATTTCATTGTAAAACCATACTAGCCAATGTGTTAAAAAGGTCATGCATTAAAAGTCAATCATTCATGAATTTTTTACATAAATATTGAAGCCACTAGGTTATAGTGCAGTAAATAAAGTTTGTCATATAAAATGAATAAACATTACAGTTTCACTAGCTGGGAGGAAATTTCTGAATAAATAAGCTATTTCCTTTCTGTAGTTGAATCGCATAGTCGAAGTACTTATATACCACTTAGATACTAATAATAGCTCCTAAAAGAATTGAATGAGAATGAAGAGTTTACTAACATACAATAATTCAAAGCATCACATTCTATAGAATAGATGATATAATTTATAAACAAGTATATTTTTCATTTTCTAATTTAGGTGCTTATTATCGTGGTTCAGCCTACTTTGGACAAGGGACTGGTAGTATAGTATTAGATGATGTTAGTTGTGTTGGTAATGAAACATCTTTATACCAGCAATGCAGTCATAGATCTCCTCTGTCAAATGATTGTACTCATAGTGAAGATGTTGGAGTGGTTTGTCCTGGTATGCATGAATCATGATAATACTGTTAATTATATCATTTCCTTTTTTACTTCAGCACCATATACTGATGGATCAGTTCGTCTTGTTGGAGGATCCAACAGTTCTGAAGGACGTGTTGAAGTATACCGTAATGGATCATGGGGTACTGTCTGTGATGATTCATGGGACTATAGAGATGCCACTGTTGTATGTAGACAGTTAGGATATGGATCAGGTATTATACATGTAATACAGCCTTACATATTACAGACATATTAAGTATTGCAATCCTTCTGTAATATCAATTTTTAGGAACTGCACTTACTAATGCTTATTTTGGACAAGGAACAGGAAACATATTCATGAATGAAGTTGGTTGTACTGGATATGAATTATTCCTTACCAACTGCTCTCGTACTACTTCTCATAATTGTGGTCACCATGAGGATGCTGGAGTTAGATGCTCACAGAGTAAGGACTATACTATAGTAGTAGCTGTTCATTCAGTTATGATGTACTTGTACATGTACTTGAATTTTTGATTTTTTACAGCTTGCTTTGATGGAGCAGTTCGTCTTGTTGGAGGATCCAACAGTTTAGAAGGACGTGTTGAAGTATGCAGTAGTGGATCATGGGGTACTGTCTGTGATGATTACTGGGACAATACTGATGCCACTGTTGTATGTAGACAGTTAGGGTATGGATCATCAGGTTAATATTAATCAGTTGCTTATGGTTTTTGATGGTTTATTAATAAATTCTATTATTTAGGGATTGCATTTAGTAATGCATATTTTGGACAAGGAACAGGAAGCATAGTAATGGATAATGTTCGTTGTACTGGATCTGAATCATACCTTACTAGTTGCTCTCATAGAATTTTTCATAATTGTGATCACTCTGAAGATGCTGGAGTTAGATGCTCATATTGTAAGGATTATACTGGTAGCTTTGATACTTATATCTTTTTCCAGTTTGTATTGATGGAGAAGTTCGTCTTGTTGGAGGATCCAGCAGTTTAGAAGGACGTGTTGAAGTATGCAGAAATGGATTGTGGGGTACTGTCTGTGATGATTCATGGGGTACTAATGATGCTACTGTTGTATGTAGACAGTTAGGATATGATCTTACAGGTACATGTGCAATGTATTATTGAGTTATAGGCAATTCACAGCAAATAAAATGTATGCCTTTGTGTATAATAATACTATTTGACTCAAGTCCACATGCAATCATGCATGCATACTGGAATGAATATTTAATAAATTATTTTGCATTAAATTTATACAGCGACCCCATATAGAAATGCATATTTTGGACAAGGAACAGGAAGGATATTAATGGATGATGTTGCTTGTACTGGATCTGAATCATACCTTACCAACTGTTCTCATAGAACTAATCATAATTGTGAT